CCATCGCTTTGACGTCGAGCAAACGGCGCATGTCGTCCATCCGTTTCCACGGGCATTTTATCAATCGGAAGGCATTTGGTCGCTGTTCCAAGCCACGCTGCCGTACATCCCGCCGTCGAGGGACTTTTTCGACACAATGGCCGTCCTGAACCACGTTGATACCGATGACGGTGACCAAATGAAGCCGTCGGCCGACTCCCTGCGGCGCAATTTGTCCAACCACGTGGGGCTGAACCTGGAGGATGAACCCGGAGACGCATCCACGAGTGGAAGCGGTAAGCGCCGCGTCGTTGTCGTGAGCGATTGCATGGGGGCATTACTACGAGAGTTTTGTGGCCGATTTTGCGGAATGAAGAATCGATGCGTGTAAACAGAATGACGGCTGCGTCTGGAATCACATCGACGACGTGTGATTGATCGTAGAAGATGGCGGGGGTCGTCGGAATCGCGTCCTTGCGCGACGCAACAGCAACGAAATGCACCCGCTGGCCATCTCGAAAGCGCTCGATGCAATCACGATGGAATGGGCGGCGAAACAGTCGACGTCGGCGGCGGCGTCTGCCTTCCCTCATCACCCCAGCAGCCACGACAACGCGGCACCACCGCGGCTGCCGGTACGTGGTGTCGACATTATCTTGTCTAACGGAAGCGGGGTGATGCAGCTGACACGAAGGGAGGTCGAAATAGTCAAGTTGATCTTCTCCCTCATGGACGTCGACGGCGACCTCCGCCTTGGCCAAGGGGAGCTCACTCAATTCATCCAGCGCATCCTAGGTCGTCTCCATGGCTCATGGAACCGTCCAGTTATGTAGGTATCAATTGGTAGGCGACACGATCAGCGAGGATAAAGCAAGGCGGTACCTCGCGGCGCTCGACTGCAACCGCGATGGCCAGGTCGACCTCGATGATTTGCTATCATGTGCGTCCATGCTTAAAGCGATGCATCGCCACGCATCTCTGTAAGTCCACGGCATATCATGGACTCGTTGACAGTGGCGACGTGTGCATGTGCCGTGGTAGGGCGTCCCAGCATGACGGTGGAACGTTTGAGCTGTGGTCACGCTTGCCGCCGTGGACTCGGTGGTTGCTCGCGGTGGCGTTTGCTGTGGGTGTGGGTCTGCCGTGCATTGCCCGGACTCGGCGATGGTGGAGTGCACAAATCAACTCTCGAACATGGCTCAAGAAATGGGTGTCCGGTGACACGAGCGGCGTCGTGGCTCTCGGAATCGTCCTGTGGATATGGACGAAGTGGCGAAGTCGAAGTCTCCATGCGCCGAAGCAGACGAGGATGGAGTAATAAAGTCCCGACGTTATCGGACACAGGTTTTCTGGTCCTTCTATGGTCCACGTCGATCGGCAGGCTGGTGTCGTGGTGCTTTACGCCTTGACAGCGGTCTTGAGGAGCTCTTCCAGTTCGCCCGACTTATGCATGTCGGTCACGATGTCGCACCCACCGATGAATTCGCCCTTGACAAAGAGCTGCGGAATCGTTGGCCATTGCCTACCGCAGACACGTCATTCACCACTCACATGCGCGCGCTCCACAAATGTTGCAGACGTACGAGTATTCCTTGACGCCTTCACGGATTTCTTCGTGGTCCAGCACGTTCACGCTGTCGAAGCTCACACCTTGCGCATGCAAGATTTGAACGACTTGGCGCGAGAAACCGCATTGCGGAGACGTCGGCGAGCCCTTCATATACAACATCACCGGGTATGTCTTGACATGGCTTTCAATCAACTTGAGCACATCATCCTTGTCGCTGGACGGCGCGGCGTGGTACTTGGGCTTGAAATCATCGTGTGAGGCAGTGGACAGGCAGCGGGCAGACGCGGCAACAGTGCGCAGCGGCTTCGAACGGGCGAGCAATCGGGTCAGCATGGCTGGTGGCGCGAGCGAAATCGAATGGGCCGATGAATTTCGACGAAGGTGAGGGCGGGGGAAAGGATATTCATTTTTCTAGATGAATATCATTTCAAATTCCCGATTCTCTGCACCGGAATATTTTGATTCGTCGCCCATATTTTAATGCCTAGCTTGACTTCAATATGGCAAGGCAAACAATATTAATGTGATCATGCCGCTGTGGCCATTCCCAGATCGCTCGCTCCTCCTGGGCACTCCAGCGGCCAAAGCACATCGCGGCGGCCGACCATGGCGGACAACGGGCGAAGGAAGCAGCGGCGGCGAAAGCACAAACCTGTCGCGCTCGGTCCTCGGTTCAGCCGGGATGCACAGGACGTCAGCAAGGGCATTGTCAACGACATCTCCTTGTTTGACGACACCGTCTTGACGCCATACTTGCGACTGGGGACGTGCCGGTACTTCGTCATCAAGTCGTTCAGCGAAGCCAACATCCACAAAAGGTAGGCTTGTTGGCATGAGTCTAACTCACGACAGAGTCGTCGTAGTGTTAAGTACGGCATATGGACCAGCACCGATACGAACAATGTCACGTTGGACATGGCATTCAAGAGCGATCTGTCGTGCATTCGGCCCATCTTACTCTTCTTCAGGTACGACAATCGGCCAGTCTTGAAGCCACGAACATGGACGACGACTGTGTAGTGTTTGCGGGTCCAAGCATTTCTGTGGCATTGCCAGAATGACGTCCGCTGTCAACTTCGACGTGACGTTTGGACTTTGGGAGAAGCAAAAGTACGAAGGATATTTTCACGTGGAGTGGCTCGTGCTCAAGGACGTTCCCAACCATGTACTCATGACGGTCGAATTGAACCAGAAGAGTTTTCCGCGCGCATGTGACGGTGATGAGGTTGCGTACAACGAGGTCAGTTGCGACGATCGTCTCAACTCGACCTGAACGCTGCGTGTTTTGATATAGGCGACTGAGTTCATGCACTGCTACATGTCATATCCCAGCACGACGAGTTTCTTGGACGACATGGCGTACTACGACTCCCTCCAGGTCGCCCTCGAATCGAAACGCGGTCTGACGAGGCAGGACCAAGAAGACGATGCCATCGACGATCTGCACTTCTACTTAATCCCCGCAGCGTCGACTGCATCATGACGCCGTGGTCCTTGCCGTCACGGTCGGTGAGTGTCGACCCACCATGGCAGCGATCCATCAAATCGAAAGGATTTTGGATGTCCAATCAAAACGCGTCAACACAGAATTTTCGTCTATTTCAACCAATCAATTGGTGCTTTGACAACGAGGATGTGGCGGGGACCGGGGCGGCACATTTAAATATCTTGCATTTTGTAGGAATCTTAAATTGTTTGGAAAAATTTGATGTGCTAAATATACAATTCGATACAAATTCCAAGTATCGTGACTTGCGGGAGTTGGTTACACATTGTTGATCATTTTCCAACTCGTCGGATTCCAACAACAACATGACAGCCGCCGCCGCCGCCGCGCCGAAGCGAACCGTTGTCGCATTCGTCCTGGACAACACTGGATGGGGATTCAACTTGGTCGTGAGCAACATCCTGTTCTGGCTCACCGGCTTCCCCATCTACCGCGACTACGGGTATTCCAACGTTCACTACAACGAAAAGGGAGGGATCCCTTCTGGCGGCGAAGGGTCTGGGGTGTTTGTTATCACGTTGGTGCTCATGCTCATCTGCTATCTTGTGTACTTTGGTCGGATGTTTGCGTTCTTGACGTCGAAGGGCGAAATCAAGGCCGATTAATGCCGCGGATCACGAGCTCGATAGAATTTAAGTAACGCGATGACACGCTTCGTCAGTGTGTGCACCCATGCGAGACCTGCGCATGCGCTCGTTGGATCACGCGATGCAGGCGTGTTGACGAAGTGACGAGGTTGGACCTGCACGACGATGTCGCGTTGTTCATAAACCTGGTTGCAACTGACCCATTCCGACGCAACATCCCACTCCAGTCACGGAATAGCCATGTTACGACTGTTAAGAGAATTCAATCCACGGAGACGCATGGGAGACCGTTGAGGTGATGGTATGGTAGCCGAGCTAATCGCGCTCGCTGATCGCTGTCAAGTACGCATCGATTTCATCTTCGGTCAACTTGCGGAATCTGTTTCATGGACGACGTTAGAGTATCGATGACGACAAGGGTCGGTACCGTTCGCCTTGGACGACGACACCAACTTCAATTTCCGAGGGGCGGAAGTCCGCCGACAGCACCGACTGCAAGCACGTGATGGCGCAGTGCACCGTGCCTTCATGGTCCAAGCTGTCGTTCGCTTTGATCTTCTTTTCCAAGTAGTTAGTCGCTTCCTGGTCCTTTACACCCGCCGACGTCGCCTTGTACCCGCGAAAGTTGCCGGCAGGGTCGATTTTGTACAGCTGGGGTCCCTTCTCTTCGTCAATGCTGTGTCACATCAAATCGATGAGAAAGGGAAACAAAGGTGTGCCACACACCCAATGAGAATGGTGATCACGCCAAGGGCACGCATGGAAGCGTGTTGGGTGTACACCTACATGGGCAATGGTCATGTTGGTGAACATCGTGGAGAACAACAAACGAACTTGGGATATATCAGCCAAACGCTTTGCAAGCACATGCACGGGGACGGGGTACCCAAACTTGTGTTCGAATTCATGCGCCTCGTATCTCAGTCGTTGGACTTGCGCCTTGGCATCAGCTACACGCGAATAGCACGTAAGCGAAGGCTCGCATGGATCGAGCCTACCTACCGTAGAGGCCTGTCAAGAGCGCGCCGATGGCCGGGGTAATCTTAAAGATGTTAGTCACCGAGTCAGGGTCGATTAATTTATCCTAGAGGGGAAGGTGCGGCATGGGTTAGCAATGGTGGCGATGCAAGGGGGGCAAAGAATGCAAGGACTGAGGTCAAGACCATACCGGGACTTTCTTCTGTGTCACAACCACGCACGACTTGGCGCCGCGGACAGCCACCGACGTCAAGTTGCTTTCCTTCACCGCCTTGAACGCATACTCTAGCGAGCGACACAGGTGCAGGTTTCAGTCCACACCTCCCATGCCATCCACAGCGCAATTACCAATTTGGAACAAGCGGCCTTCCGGCGAGAAGATCGTGATGTGTCGGTCGTACCCGTCACCCGACATGATGCTTCCTTGTTGCGATCGCAAAGGTGTTCTGCCCTCACGTTGAGCAGGATAGATCCACCCGACAAAAGTATACGGCCCCTACAAATTTCAAATATAAAAAACGAAGTTAGATACGTAGTTCGAAGTACACATTCAGCCAATCATGTCCCATGATTCACCCACCAAGGCGCTATTTTGAGCGTGCTATTTTGACTACCATCTTGTCGAGTTTATCCGGAGTTTTGTCCGGATAGATCGCCCGACGATTGGCCAGCGAGCCATTGGTGATGCCAATAAATTGGCGCCGACAATATACCTTCCGATGGCGGCGATGGAACCCAAGCT